TAATCTTCAGTAGAATCTTGCTTGCATGTGAAATCAATGATATTGTTCTGTAGTTTCCACACTCAGTTGGGTCACCCTTCTTTGGAATGGGAACAAATATCATTCTCTTCCAGTCAGTTGGCCAAGTGGTCGTTCTCTAGATTTCTTGGCACAACTTGGTGAGCACATCCAGGGCAGCATCTGTTAGCTGAAATATGTCAATTGGTATACCATCTATTGCTCTTTCCGTCAAAGCAGCTTGAACTTCTTCCTTCATCACCATAGGCTCTTGCTCTTCCTATCAGAATGATGAACTGCCCATTAAAAAGTGAAATATTAAATAACCTTTCATTATTCAAAAAGAAAAAAAGTGAAGTGAAAATATTCTAAGGCTTCAACGACTTATCATAAACCTTAAAAAATTACTAAAAAAAATTACTGGATATTTTTATCAATTGGAAGTCCAACTCATGAGACAGGTATGTAGTTTTTGACTGAGCAAAACTATAATGTGATCCATTTGAACAAAATGGAAAATTCAGAAAAAAAAGAAGTAATTTTTCCCCCCTGAAAATCAATAGAGGATTTACGTTCTCTGACAATTTTCCCTTAGTGATTTATCTAGTAGTAGCCTTCAGTGATATCTGGTGAAGACTAAAAATTTGTCAGCAAAATGGCATTGTTAATAACTGGTGCCCTAATTAAAATTGCTAACTCTCCTTTCTCACCCTCTTCTTCCAGGTTCCATAGACTGCACCCTCACGTTTTCTCACCCAACATGGTACTGGGAGAACCTGCTGAAAATCTGCGTCTTCATCTTCGCCTTCATCATGCCTGTCCTCATCATCACCGTGTGCTATGGGCTGATGATCTTACGACTCAAGAGTGTACGCATGCTGTCTGGCTCCAAAGAGAAGGACAGGAACCTGCGAAGAATCACCAGGATGGTGCTGGTGGTGGTGGCTGTGTTCATTGTCTGCTGGACTCCCATCCACATCTATGTCATCATCAAAGCCTTGATCACCATCCCGGAGACCACTTTCCAGACAGTTTCCTGGCACTTCTGCATTGCTCTCGGTTACATCAACAGCTGCCTGAACCCGGTCCTCTATGCGTTTCTGGATGAAAACTTCAAACGATGCTTCAGAGAGTTCTGTATCCCAACCTCTTCCACCATCGAACAACAAAACTCCACTCGAATCCGTCAAAATACTAGAGATCACCCCTCTACAGCCAATACTGTGGATAGGACTAACCATCAGGTATGTTGTGGTCTCTACACATAGATACACCTACTGGGAATGGTGTAAAAACTATTCTTAACAGGCTAATTTAACTTTTGGAAGGGATGCAATAACTTTGGAATTGGAAATGAGAATGGGATAGATGCTGATATTTACATTATCAGAGAGGACCTTTGCTATGCAACTTACTGTATATATTTAACCAGGTACATCCATTTATGTTTTTGTTTTTAGGTGTCATCAAACAGAGCATGATTCAAAATCACCCTAAGAACAAAGATCTAAACTCTGCTCTATCCTGCACCACCTACATACTTTCTGACACACAAGAGCCCACTGCAGCAGTCATCATGTCAATCCACCTGGTTGAGGGTCTTCCTCTTCTTCACCGACCCGCCACCCTTTCCCAACATCATGTCCCTCTCCAAGGAATAGCCCCTCCTAGCATTATGTCCAAAGTATGTGAGGCGAAGCCTCATCATCCTTGCCTCCAAAGAGCACTCTGGCTGCACCCTCTCCAAGACATACCTGTTCATTCTCTTGGCCATCCATGCAATGTGCAGTGCCCTTCTCCTACACGACAGCTCAAAGGTGCCAATTCTTTTCCTGACTTCCTTATTCATTGTCCAGCTCTCAGATTCTCTTAGGTATCAGAATAAAGCAATTATAGGAATAATAAATATAATAAATAAAGCAATAGTAGGAAACTAGTTTAAAAAAATTCTACAATGTCAGTGGAAATATAGGAAAATGGTAAAACCTCTCCTCATTGTCTCATTGTCCTTTTCTTCTTCTTTGGAAAAAAAAAAAAAGATGTTAGTACATTGTGCCGGTGTTCATGGCTTATACACTTTCTCATTGTCCCGAGGCATTTTAGGCAATTTGCAAGTATCACTCCAAGATACTTGTCACTTCTCTCAAAAATCAATCTCTCATTAGTTATCTGGTTAAAAAGAAAGAATTTGAATCATCAATGAGGCTGTTCTGAGAAAGTTAGTATGATGGCAAAGAAACAAAATTATGATTAAAAAAAAAAAAAACCAACCACAACACAAAACCATTCCTAACGTTGGTAAATGCTTTGTTTGTAAATGTTTCTATCTTTTACTCTAGCTGTTTGTTGCTGTTGTCATCCGTCATTGAGTCAGTAAGATCTGACTCACAGCTAACCCTCCAGTGGGTCCTCAGAGATAGTCAATCACCCAGGAAATGATGATCTATCTTTCTCCTGAGAAGCAGCCGGAATTATGTTTCTGAAGTTGATTTGTATCTTTGAGTTGGCAATGTAACACCTTACCTCTAATCCACCAGAACTCTTTTCTTTGCCATGTTTTTTAAAATTTTAATTTTTTTATTGGTTTGCTTACAAAGTTCATATACTCTGTGTCTCACATTATCTTTCACTCACATTGTGTTTCATATAATTATTTCCATTCATTGTGTTTAATAATATTAATCATTATTGAACTATGCCCACATTACCCTGTCTTTCTAGATCACTACTGATCCTTTAGCCACCTCTCCCTCCACCCACGAAATGATGTAACACTATGATTTCTCCCCACCCATCCTCATCCACCTTCTCCTACCCTCCCCCTCTTGGATCCTCATACGTGTTTACTAGCTACCTTCCTATTTCTACAACAATTGTCTTATGCAATATTTGTCCTTATGAGACTGAGTTAGATCACTCAGCCTTATGCTCTCCAGGCTCTCTTAAGTTATGTAGTAATTTTCTAAATTGTTGCTTCTGAGTGCTATATTATATTCCATTCTGTGAATAAACCACAATTTATCAGTCCATTTGATTGTGGGTGGACATTTAGGTTGTTTCCATGTTCTTGTGATGGTGAGTAAGGCTGCTACAGTCATCTCACCAGAACTCTTAACTTTAGAACAAACATCAAATACATTGCTCACTAGGGACCATCAAGTCAGCTCTCACACTGACCCTCTGGACAACTGATCGAAACTTCTCCTGATTCTACACTGTCCTCACCATCTCACTTGTGTTCAAGTCCATTTGCAGTCACTGGGTCCATCCACCTCACTGAAGTCTTTCTCTTTTCACTGACCTTCTACTTGTCTCAATGTAATAACATCAAATAAATAAACTCTTTAAATGTGCAGAAGTGATGGTAGTTACAGAACAAAGTACTGTACAGAAATTATGTTAGTCATAGAACAGAGTTTAGATCTTTTATGCAAAACTTACTCTCAGTTGTATTTGACTTGACGACACGTAACCACTGCTAAGTGAAACTAGTGCTGTTATATCTGGAGAAACACTCTTCCACTTTGCATATGACTCTTTGTCAATGTGCAGTAAGAAGTAACCTGGGTTGCTGTGATGCTGAATCTTGTACCATTGGGGTATCAAATGCCAGAATGGAGTCACAATGTGAACAGTGTTTAGTGGAGCTCCCAGATGTAAAACAGGTTTGGAAACAGGAGTAGCATCCACTTCTCAAACCACATGCCTCTGGAAACTCTATGAACTCGGTGACATGACGACAGTTATGGAAAGGCATTAGGTCTTCTGTTCATAGAGTCACTATGAGTCATGCTCAACTCAGAGGTAATCAACAACATCATAAGTAAATTTCTTTTATTACAAATGTCATAGCATTAAAGTGTAATGCCTCAAAGAGTTGAGTGAAAGATATTTCTATGCACAGAAGTCAAAGTCCTGCATAGAAGTGTCAGACAATAGTAAGATAATACAGGAGATGCAAGAAGAAGGTGAAAAAGAAATTCCAGACTAATATCAGCTTTGCTAAACTACTGATTTTCAAAATTTGGAAACTAACCCATAAAGTAATTCAGATATACTATTGGAATATTGTTATTATTAAATGCAATGATTTTTCAAATGATAGATCAGTATCCAAAAGCCATCTTTGGATAAATATTCCAAAATGTTGTGGTCAGAATCTTTCTTCTTTGAAGATTATTGAGAAGTAAGGCAGCCATTGGTGAGAGGAGGGATTTGCCGCACCCAGTACACAGCTGTTTCCTCTCTGCTTTTTCTAAACCCCTTGCTGTCCCAGTGTCCCTTTCTACCTGTCCCTACCTCCATTCACCCTGCCCATGCTCCCTCTTTCTGGTGGAGCCCAGGATGAATACTGTATGGTCTAGATGGATCTCCGCTGGGACACCATTCTTATTGTCTGGCTATTAAACAGCGCTACAGTGAACACAGGAACTCTTGCCCCCTGAGAATATGAGCTCATGATGGCAGACCACTCACAACCAAGGGAAATTATTAACTTATCATGTCTGGCTTCTGATTCAATTTCAGAAACAGGAGCCAGAAATAAATGTTTCCTAGTCCTCCTCCTTTTCCCTAATGTTTTTCTTCCGCATCAAAGCCTCAATCCCTGCTCTTTTGTAAACTCTTCTCCTCAGCAGCTACAAAAATTCTCCTGAGTAACTTAAAGGAAGTTAGTGATTTAACCAGATTTTCCCCACATGAGGGTCAAGCATTAAATAATGCAGTTTTAAACTGTTAGTCCTATTCTAAGGATTTTTTTTTTCTCTCCTAAGACCATGGACTGCCAAGAAAACA